CAGGTTCAGTATTTTTGAACACATGGAAGAAATAAACATTCACTTAGGATGTAATAACCAAGTTGAGTAAAGACTATAACTGTTAAACAATTTTCAGCTTTTTCTCAAGTTAGTTTTGTTGTAGGAGCGTATTTAAGCAGTAAGCGTATTTAGGTTAAAGCTGTTTCAATTATGTTAAATGTTGCTCTTATACCATATTACATCCAACACTGTTTTGAATGCATGTTGAAAAACATGCTTTTTTGTAAACAAATATAGGAGCTGTGTCTGCAATTCAAAGTGAACATTTGGCATGTTAGTTCTAGTTTATTTCTTTTAATATCCTGTAAGGCACGTTTAAGCTTTTTTTTAAGTTAATGGGGAAACATGTTGAGACGTGATACAGCTACTTTAGGATTTTGGTCTTGGTGTTCATATAAAATTCTGAGGCCTTGATTTAATCTTTCATTGTATGGTGATTTCCTTTTTAGGTGTATTGCGCTAAGTGAAACTTGTTAAATAAATCTTCCTTTTAAAAACTACTCTCTTCACTTAATATTCCATGTTCAACATTCTTTGTAACTACAAGGGGGCGGGACACTGAGTGGGAAGTTGTAATAAAATTTGCATCTGTGTGCAAGAATATTAATGTCATAACATACCATCCAGTAACACACACACACATATATATAGTACTTACTATCCTAGTTCTAATGTTAAGAGTCCGGCATGAGCTGTCAAAGGTGATGAAACTTAAAATTACAGTATAGCATTCCTAACCTGAAAAGTGGTCCATTTGTATTGCACTCCTCAAAGACTTGTTTCTGGCAAGTGAATCTATTCCTTTGCCTGGTTGTTGCTGCTTGAATGCATTTACACCTTTTAAAAATTCATGATCGCGAGTATCAAGCTTGTCTACACAGACACAGGATCCTGGGGTTTACACTAGGGTTTGAAGAACAGCAGTGTAGGCATTACAGCTCAGGCTCTGATGCCCCCCTCAGACTTCAGAGCCTGAATGTCTACACAGGTGATAGTAGCACTGTATCACAAGCTCCATGATCTTGAGTCTGTAGACCTGATCTCTAAGATCCTCTGCTGTGGGTCTTAAACACACTGTAGATGTGCTGCTTGAGGATAGAACAAGTTGCCACTTCTAAGTAGATTAGATTCTGCATGTAATTCCATGAGGACCAACATCAAACTTATGTTCACAAGCTTCTTAACTACATATCCTGACTAGACTTAACACACACTACACTTTTTCTCACCTCTTTGTTCAACTTGCAGCACTGGCTTCAACCCTCAGCTCCCCAAAAGAGTCATTCAACTTACCTTCAACCAGCTCTGACCTTTCAGTGTCACCCATGAGCCCCTCTATCATCCTTTTAGTTAGCCTTTCCCTGATTTCTAATCCATCAGCATTAATTTGTCTGCATTCAGTCCTCTCCACCCTCCCTTTCATTTATATGGCTGACTTTCTCCAGCCTTACTGTTCTCCACCCTTAACTCCTGTCAATCTTTTTAGACTAATTTTTCAGCAGGCCTCATGCTTTATTTAATGCACAGGTTTGACTCTAATGGGCTCACTCAAATCTCTCTCTATTCACAGCCTTTACAGACAACAGTGACCTACAGGGCCTAGGATTAAATACCAGTGCATTTTCAGCATCAAGGGTAGAAGTTAGATTAATCTCCTATAAGGCCTTGTCTTAGTAATAGCTTTTTCACAGAAACTACCATCAATTGGAAATCTGTTGGGAAGGGAGAAAACACCAGCTATTGAACAGGATTGGATGTACTGAGTAGATATTCCCATAGGGGCCACAAGACCATTTGGTGGCCTGATTTTTTTTTGTTTTTAAAAACAGTCCAAGATGGATCTTTATTAACTGAACAGGACTACATTGAAAATCTGGAGGATTCTATGTAATGAATAAGGCTGGGATTTACCCACTGAACAGATTGTACAATTATCAGCACATACACTGTCCAGCCTGCACACAATAGAGGATTCCTGTAGAGAAGAGAGACAACTTCAAACCAGTTGGGTTTTTGGGCAAAGGGGGTTGTTTGACAGTAATACAACAGCCCCTGTATTGCTAATGCTGTATGAAAGACTCAAGCCAACTGACTTCACCAGCTGCTGCTATATACATAACAAACTGACCATTATTTAATTCTTTGGTTCTTAGTTTAAAAAAATAAAAAACCTGTTCAGAACTAAATTCACAGTATTCCTAAAGGTATCAGAGGGGTAGCGGTGTTAGTCTGAATCTGTAAAAAGCAACAGAGGGTCCTGTGGCACCTTTGAGACTAACAGAAGTATTGGGAGCTTGCATCTGAAGAAGTGAGATTCTTACCCACGAAAGCTTATGCTCCCAATACTTCTGTTAGTCTCAAAGGTGCCACAGGACCCTCTGTTACTCTTTAGGAATACTGTAAAAAGTATTAAGACCTGCACCAGCAACCATTAATCTATTATTTGACTTGAATGCTGCTCTTTGCAGCATGGATATGCAACACAAGGAGAGGGAATAAGCACCACTAAGCAGCAGGTAAGTAAGGTGGTGGGAAGGACGTATGAGGAAGGCAGCCACCTAAAAGAAACAGCCAGAGGGGAAAGACCAGGAGCAAAATTAGACTGTTGTAAACATTTCCAACAGAAATCCCAACCTTGCATTAGGTAGCTAAAAAGACACAGTAACTGCTGTACTTGCCCTAGAGTCCCATGGGTAGGACACTGCTTCATAGGGCAGTCAAATGTCCTCATTCAATATCTGAGAAGTGCACTATCAGCAAAGAACAGAGCATCAAACCACTTCAAAAGGGTTAAACACAAAAATACACATGCAAACTTATACCAATGATTGCTACCTCACTTCCACTGCTTACCTAATACAACTAATAGGGAGAGTATATGCAGGTAGTTCAGAGTTGACTAGTCACATAGTACTGGCTAATTCCAGCTTCTAAAATACCCTTGAGAGACAATTCATTTTCCATGTAATCAATTGCTGTGCTTGCCAATAGGATGTACTGTGGGCCTGGAGGGGAGTTAGTCTGCACACAATATATGAAGAGGGAGGTAGTCCACATTAGGAAACAGTAAATGAATCCTTGACCTAACATGTCTTAGGATAGTTTTATTCTTTTAGTCCTTACCCTTCTCACCAAGTAGCTCTGCAGTTGTGGGTCTAACTTGCTTGGGAGCATGCCTTGTATTTTTTCTTTTGTCATTAGCAGGAAAAGGCTAGAATGTAGCCCAAAAACATAAAGAGCAATATAAGTGAAGCTAGTTTTTGAGAAAAAAGCATTTTCTTACCCTCAAGTAGTGTAAAACCATGCAGCTCTCTACTCTGGCAGTCCATCTTACTGAAGCAACATTACCCTAAATAGCATACGCCTATTCAGCTTTGAACTTCCTAATTAGTACTGAAAAAGTGGGTATTCATAGACTGAGCTTCAAAAGAGATCTGACAACTTTCTATTAGCAAGTAAACTGTTGAAGGCAGCAAAACAGATATAAAGGCATTGGCATTGTCAACAATTACATTCTCTTTTCCACCCATTCCCACAACAGGTGTCCTTCATACAGCCAAATTCAACACATTGATGAGTTTATCCATTACCAATAAGGTAATCACTACTGGGAATATTCAAGCATTAGCAAGTTTAGATATAGATTGGCAGACAAGTGCTACTAATAATAGGGCCCAGCTTTCCTGGATGTGATACCTAGCAGATTTCTTCACCAAATAGTCACTGAACCAACAGGAGGCGATGCCATTTTAGATTTGGTATTGGTGAGTACTGAGGATTTTATGCTTGTATAGGACAACCTTGATTTGAGTGATCATGAGCTTCTTCAGTTTTAACTAAATGGAAGGATAAACAAAAATAGATCTGCAACTAGCATCCTTGATTTCAAAAGGGCTAACTTTAAACAATTAAGGGAAGTGGACTGGACCAAAGAACTCAAGGATCTGAATGTGGAGGAGGCTTGCAGTTACTTTATCAAAATTGTAAAAACTATCTGATGCCAGCATCCCAAGCAAGGGGAAAAATTTGTAGGGAAGGGTTGCAGTCCAAACTGGATAATAAACAAGCATCTCAAACAAAGTGATTAAGCAAAAGCCTAGAAGGGATGGAAGATGGGATGAATCAGCAAGGAAAGCTACCTCTTAGAGGTCAGAAAGTGTAGGAATAGTGAGAACTGCCAAAAGCCAAGCAGAGTTATACCTTGCAAAGGGAATTAAAACCAATAATAAAAGGTTCTCTAGCCCTATACATAAAAAAACAAGGAAAGAAGTGGGACTGCTAAACCCTGAGGATGAGATGGAGATTAAAGATAATCTAGGTATGGCCCAGCACCCAAATACTTCAAACTGCCTCAGTTTTTAATAAGGCTAATGAAGAGAGATAGTGGCAGGGTGACTAATAGGTACACAGATATGGAGGTAGATATTACCACATCTGAGTGGAAGTCAAACTCAAACAGCTTAATGGGACTAAATCAGGCTGCCCGTAAACTTAGGTATCATACCCTATGATTGGAGAATTATTACTATAGCTCCTATTTTTAAGAAGGGGGAAGGGGGAAGTGATGTGGGAAACTACAGGCCTGTTAGTTTGACCTCCAGTGTATGCAAATGTATTGGAATACTTTTTGAAAGAGTAGTTAAAGACAGAGGTGAACTGTAATTGGGATAAAATACAACATGGTTTTACAAAAGGTAGATTGTGCCAAACCAACCTGATCATCGTGTTATAACTGATTTTTTAGACAAAGGAAATGCAAGTAGATCGAACGTGCCTGGTTCGATACAGTTCCACATGGGAAATTAATCCCATTTTCTCCAATTTAACTAACAGGAGAGTTGAAAGGTGGGTAAAGAACTGGTTAAAGGGGAGACTACAATAGTTCATACTTAAAGGTGAACTGTCAGGCTGGAGTGAGGTTACTAGTGGAGTTCTTCAGGGATCAGTCTTAGGACGAATCTTATTTAACATTTTTATTAGTGGGACTGTGCTAATAAAATTTGCAGATGACCCAGTTGGGAGGGTTAGCCAATATGGAGGAGAACTGGACTATCATACAAGATGATCTGGATGACCTCGTAAACTGGAGTAATAGAAATGGGATGAATTTAATTGTACGAAGTGCAAGGCCATGCATCAAGGGACTAACAACAAGAATTTTTGTTATAAGTTGGGGACATATCATTTGGAAGTGAGAGGAGGAGAAAGTCCTGAGTGTATTGGTTGATCACAGGATAACTATGAGTCATCAATGTGATGCAGCTGTGAAAAAGGTTAATGCATGGGTCACTTGTAGGTTTAAACTGGTGTAAATAGTGGATTCTCTGTAACTTGAAGTCTTTAAGCCATGATTTGAGGACTTCTGTAACTCAGCCAGAGGTTAGAGGTCTATTACAGAGTGGGTAGGTGACGTTCTGTGGTCTGCATAGTGCAGTAGGTCAGACTAGATGATCATGATGGTCCCTTTTCACGTTAAAGTCTAAAACCTATGAACAGACTTAATAGAAGTTACGGGCAGTGCCATTGGTTCTGGAATTTCTCCATTTCCCCCCTTATGGAGGACATTTTGTGTCAAGTTTCAGTTTCTTCACTTTTTCTTTATGCAGAGTGCTTTGAGGTAGTTGCATTTTGTGTAGGTGTTTCAAGTTTCTATGAACAGATGCTGTTTTTTCCCCAGAATGTTAGGATGTTTTTTTCTATGTATTCATTCTCTTGCTTCTTTGCTCTTGGTTTGCATTGCTTTTTTATCAGATTTAAAAATTTTATTAAAGTGAATGTTTAAAAATAAATAGATACAAGTTAAGAGGGAAGATACTGTATATCTGGGGTCAGGCTTCGGTTATGGGGGGTACAGGTATCGTTTGCAGGGATGAAAAGATACATACATATAGCATAACCTGCATAGACCCAGATTGGGGTGCAAGGGTTTTTAAAGTGTCAGTGGATAAGTGGGCTCGGGTACGCCACCCATGGAATGTATAAGGAGTCCAAGTCAGTATCGGTGTAGCGGATAAGTACATGGGTGGGGTGCGTCCCTTGGTCCGTCAGGGAAGGAAGTGGGTTATTTCCCTGGTCGGTGGTCTCAGTTACTCAGTGTGGTATTGGCGGTGTCCTGTGATGTGTTCCGTATAAATATCTCTGGACCACCTGATGGTGTCGGACACCATGAGCTGTCTCATGAGCCGGGCGTAGCGTTGACCGACTCCACACGCTCTCAGAACTGGCTCGTTGTGGGGGTCCCACGAGCCCAGGGCTCCCACGATCAGGGCGTGTATCTGGACTACTACACAGTACTTCTGTTCCACTACACTCAGTTACTTTAAAAGTGTCTTCTTCTTGCTTTATATTCTCTACAAACTAGGAGTAGTATTTTGTTTTGCCAAATGAAAATCTTTCAAAGATTACATGCTTGATTTTACTCATTGCTATTTATTTTCAAGAAAAAAGTGGAACAGTGTTAAGACTAAATATCTCGTTTTCATAGTTTAACAAAGACTTTATTGCATAATCACTATTGTAGTCATAAGTGCTTTAGAAACAAATATAGTCTATATGCTATTTTTACTTTGAAGTATATCGTGAAGGCACATTCATTTATACATATAGAAGGTTGACTGTTTTTCCATGTTCAACTTACTTTGTTCACATATAAAACTGTACATAACCAACATAATATAATCTGGAGTATATTAAAAGTGAGTCGTTGGAATAGAACCATGAGGTTACAGTGTGCAGAAAAAAAATCAGTGATTTTTTTTTAAGAGGTCAGATGTACAAATGTGAAAAGTACAAAGTTTTAAATAAAGAAAATAGCTTTTTATAAAATTCAGAAAAGTGAATTTGCACTTCAAAGTTTCAGCATGTTGAGCACATTTTAAATTATATGATTTTTTTTATTTCTCCTACTTGATTTCATTATGAAATATATTGGTAAAACATTAGCTTTCATAATTCCTATAAATATCTTTATATCTTTTAAATTATTACTTGACCTGTTCTAGAATGGAAAGTGTTGAAATCTAAAGAGATGTTTTCTTCTGCACAAGGGATACTGGAAGTCAGAGTTTTAAAAAAATTCATGGCTCCTTCTCCAAGCTTAGAATGGTCCTCTTGAAACAACTGAAGCATTAGGAAGCAGTAGACGAACATCTCTGAAGCAGTAAAGTGTGACATGTATCACAAACACGCACAGGTTTAGGGTAGGATGGCAGTGCAAGTTCATTGCTGGAACAAGTGTTGCAAAAGATGTCACCACAGTTCCTACAGTGATGCTAGAAGACAGTTTAAAACATAATTAGGGTTGAGTAAGCACAAACTGTACGGTTTAATCTTTAACTACAGCAGGCTATTAGCAAATTGTGATAAACTGCTGCTGGCACCATCCATGGTTTCCTGAGCCCTCCACCCTCCCCACATCAATGATCCACTTCCTTCCAGTAAGGACTATACAGAATTCAATCTGGAGGCTATCATCACAGCTGCTTAGCCAGAAGGAGGTCATACATCTTGAGGCATTCATTCTTTCAGGAACTAAAAAACTACCTTTTAGCACTTCCAGTTCTTGCTGTTCAGAAAAGGAAACCACAATGGGAACTGAACCCAAGTTTCTCAAGGGCAGCGTCGTGCACTACCAGAAAGCTATACATTCCTGCTGTCAAGCAGCAGCCTCACTGAGAGCACACACAAGACTCAGGTTTATGCTAAAGTCACAGGTTTTTAGAAACAATCACCTTTTTAACATTGTTAAAGAACTGGTTCTCTCCCCCTCCTCAGGTTAATAGGAAAGTGTTACTCAAAGTCAAGTCAATTTTCTCTAGTTAGTAATGTATGACAAGATCTGGAATTCGAGGCTTTTAAATACTTCTTCCCTAGCAAAATGAGCTGTGATACATCAGAAGGGTAGACTAGTAGTGCCTCCCCATACTGGGGGGCCGGGGGGGGGGGGGAGGAGAGAAACAACGGACCAGTTAAAGGGTAGGGCATGTGACTCCTCCCCACCCAGCCCAGGGTCCCTGCATTCTCCCCGTCCCCTCCCCACCCCATGTTACCTGCTGGGCCTAGGGAAGGGGAGCCTCTGTCCTCCCACTGCGCTGGCTCCCCCTGGCATGTTTGGCGGCTCTCCCTAGCAGCCAGGTCCCAGAGCCACTCCCGGATGCTGCCCAGTGCAGCACAGCAGCTGCCTGGGAGAGTGCCTGGCTGCAGCAGCAGTGGGCTGCTTCCCGCCCTGGCTTGGCTTCTGGGAAAGCAGGAGCAGCCCTACCCCACCCTCCCCAGCATGCTCAGAGTCGGCTCCTGTCCCCAGAGCTGAGTGGCGGCAGCCTGCTCCCAGCCCAGGCTTGACTTCTAGGGACAGGAGCCGACTGAGCAGGCCAGAGGGGCCCCAGCTCGTTTGGCCACTGTCCCCAGAAGCTGAGCCCCAGGCACTCTCCCAGTCAGCCAGGACACTGCGCTGCACCCCGGGCAGCGTGGCTGGAAGAGGCTCTGGCCCTGCCCCTTCCTCTCCCCACCCAGGCCGGCTGCTGGAGGGTCACTTGATCCTGCGTGCACCTCCCACAAGCCACCAACCACCAAGTTACAATTCTCTTTCATTTATTGCTTTAAAAAATGGGTATTCTTCATAGTTATCCACTGAACACCACTACCTTTCTTCTTGAAATGGAGAAGTCCTTCTCACATTGTTTACAGTGGGTTGCTTCATCATCTTTTAGCCAGGTATGGCCCTAAAATAAAAACAAACAATCACATATGCAAGAAAGATCAATTCAGTTATGAATTACTTGGAGAAAGGATTTGAAGTTGAAGGTGGTTTGGGCTGCAACACTTGGAATTTCTCACAGCCATATTCTAAATCATTTCACTCAGTTTTAAGAGTTACCTGCAGTAGGTCATCTAAAATGAAATATGTACAATACTTAAATTTACATTTTCATAAAGCGTACAGTACCTTTAGTGCCTTATTTACTTCCTTAATATCTTCCATCTTCAGTTTGGATCTGGAAAAGATAAATTAAGAAATGACTTCTAATTTTAACATGAGATAAAGGTGGCTATTTACAGAAAAAATGCAACAGAGGTTAGCGGGAACTAAGGGGAGGGAAAAAAAAGTCCCAATCCTGCAACCCTTGTGTGTGTGTAAATAGTACCACTGAAGCGAATGGATAACACACATGCACAGGTTGCCCAGACATTTGTATCTACTTTCTCCATATTCATCCTTGGTTTTCTAAAATTCACACTTCTCATTTATGTAACTGGATGCTCTTTAATTGTTACATTTGTTATTAATTATTTGAAAATCCAACCTAATTTATCTACATAGTCCTTCAATTATTGGAACTTACTGGCTAAGGTGTAGTCCCATTTCTTGTAGAGCTTGTTCCTGTTCTTCACAGACCTTCTCTAACTGCTGCTTCTCATCTTGCAATTTTCGCAGTTCCTATAATTAACACACTGAATGCTCTGAACAAGAACGTGAATGCTGAGCATCTTCACCACAGTGTGAAGAATTAGGGTTTTTTGCAGTTAAAAAAACAAAACAAAACAACGCAACCCAAACACCTGACCTTATATAACTGTGTCCTAAACAAATCAACTCAACATACTGAGGAATTTGATATATTAACTTCTCTACAAAGCCAGATACCTATTCTTGGACTTTAGGATCTTGCGTTTACCGTGTTATGTTAATAACCTGTTCACATCTAAATGGTATGCACTTTACGTATTGTAGATCATCATGGGCAAGTTTTTAACTGATTATACAAATACAAGGGAGGTGAAGAGATTTTTTTTCAGGTCTCTGCAATCTCTGTGAGAATAAGCTAGCATATGTGGCATAAACCAACCAGTTGACCAATGGTGCAAGTATTATTCAGTGAATATACAGTGCACACACCTCTTATTTATATTGCCGTAGAGCTTAAGAACCATAGTTATATAACATTGTGGTAGGTGCTGTACAAACACAGAACAAAAAGACTGTCCCTGCCCCAAGGGGCTTACAATCTTAGTAATGTATGCTTTGCTCCTCCAGCACTTAAAATAAGTACAACAAATGCCAAATGCACACAGGGGAGTGGGTTGCTATAAGTGTAAGAGTCATTTTAATTTAAAGAAGATGATTTGTAGCAAATGATTTTAAGCAGCACAGAGGATTTGAAAACTTGTAGAATTAGTCACTCATTTTAGTTTTTAAGTTTTAAGTATTCACCACTGAAATCTTCGGTTAGAATATCAATTCACCTTTCTTTTGTAATATGCGGACCCCAAGCTCCTCCTATTTGCATTTTCCTGCACAAAGTTAGTTGAATTGTTGGCCATTTTCTTGGAACCACTTTCACAAGAGGGCAATGGGGGGAAGTCTATAGAAATAAACTAACTATTGAAGCAAAGGTGGGAAATACTTGCATAGCTCCTGTGGACTTTCCACCCTAACCACTCACCATGCTCCCAACGTGCTTACCTTTTTCAACCCTTCCATTTGTTGCAGTTCTGTTTTTAGCAGACTAGTAGTATCCTTCTCTTGATGTAGCTCTCGTTGCAAAGTTTGTCTCTGTTCTTTTTCAGATTTTAACTCCTTCTCCAGAATTGAGCTGTTAAAATAACTTTGGTTGTAACAAAGGCTGTTTTTATAAAGAGTTTTAGGAAAAAGGAAGGACAGAAGAAACTTGTGCAATCCAGGGCAAAACTGGAAACATTGTTCTGGGAAGGGGGAAGAGACTTGTTTTAGCAGTGCAGAGATCAATAATTATATTAAACAATCTTTTCCTTTGGTCACAGCGAGGAAGGAGCAGCCAAGACAGTGAGTTTCAGGGGTTGTGGAGTTTTTATTCAGTTAAGTGTGTATTTGACTGCTTATGTATAAATGATTGAACATACCAAACATTACAATTGAGAGCATATGCACACGTACATAGCCCCATCAGTGAAATCCTAGAAAGACTTTGAGAAGAATCAGCAGCACAGTGGGGGATGCATTTGGTATTAAATTCCAGACCCTTTTAATGCAGCAAGAGATTGTTTCTCTATTTGAACACCGACTCTAAAAGTGAATCAGACCGGGTTTGAGAACAGGATGAGTCCTGGGGAGGAGCAAGACAGTGTCCCATAAATCAGCATGTCACATTGAATCCTTTCCCATTCTTTTGTCTGAATGTTTCCCATTAAGACTGTAAGCCTTTTGGGTCTAATTTTATGTCTGCAGAGGACCTACCTAGCACACTCCCGGATGCTAAATAAGTTAATCATGCATAACCTTTTGTTATTAAAGAGCAAAGCATGCAGGTTTAATTCATTTATTAATAAAGTATCCACTCACCATCTTACCTGTGTAACATACATAAAGTTAACAATTGCAAATAATTTACCATCCATAAAGAACTAGTTATCTATCACTCTCTAGCACCAATAGAGAAACAAAAAACAAAACAAAAACCTTTTTTCTTCTTTCTATTAAGTATTATAGAAGTAAAAAAAAGTACCATTGATTGTCCACCTGGGAGAGTTGTTGCTGCAGAGTCTCAATTCTGCCACCAAACTCTTGCTTCATCTTGTTATTTTTTCCTTCTGCTACCTGCCTAGCCTGTTCTGCATGCTGCAACCTAAAGCAAAGTAAGGCATGCAATGCATTTATTATAATCAATGCACCAAAGTATTACTTAAGTATGCACAATTCTTTCCTTGAAAAAATTCTATTGCACTCATTTTTCTACAGTGGTACAACTGAGAATTTGAATGCACAGCAATAGGACATTTAAAAAGCAACAGTTTCTGTGGAAGCCATAAGTCAGCCACATAGGATGTATGCCTTAACTCAGCATACACTATTTAGAATACATTTACACATGCAGTAAGTGTGGTGGTGTGGGCCAGATCTGTATGTATGGGGATGGAGGGGGGCAGAAAGAGAAAATGTGCACAAAGGGGAGGTCAGAGGGCGAGCCTGGACCTGTACAGGAGATGAGGGTGTAGTGTGGATACTTGGAGGCTGTGCAGGGTTGGGGGAGGGGAAGAGTGGAGGGGCAAAATGTAGCAGTCAGTGCTCTGTAACGTGGGGAGAAGTGGATCTGTGTTAGGGCAGTCACAGGGAACCCCCATCACACTTATCCCTATCATCTAGTTTCCCTGCCCCCTCCTCAGGTCCATCAGAATAGTCTCATTCAGTGCTGTCTCCGTTGTGGCCCCCGTCACAGACTGTCTGGGGATCGCTGCAAAGACTGGAGCTAGGGAGGAGGGCTGTGAAGCTGGGCCAGGGAGGCAGCCTATGAGAACAGATGTATGCAGTGGATAGTTTCAGACCTGTCACAACTTCTCTTAATGTATGGTTATGCCAAATAAGGAGAGTAACTCATTAAGTTTTATATTTATATTTCCAGTATATGGTGATCATGTGGAAGTGCCTGAAGTTTGGAGTTCAGTTCATGGTGGGTGTACATCTATTTGAAGGCAAAAGAAGGTAATACATTGATGGCTACACTTCAAGACAGGGTGATTTTAATAGTGTTGTCTAGAAGAGTTACCAAGTATTTTATGAAATAGGCAGAACAGAAAATTCAAAGGATCACATGAACATTAACTCTGGTAAATGTGGAGACTAAATTCAGCCACTTGAAGTGTGAAATGGAGGGATCTTAGTCCTGTTTTACTTGAAAAGCTCAACCAAGTCTTAACTATGCAGGCACTACTGAGGCTTCTATAATATGTAAGAATATTGGAAGTTCATGCAATATTCTTTTTCCAGCATCGCCTTTTTAAGAGTTTGTAAATATCACCTCTCTTCCATTTGTTTCATAGTAGACATCATCTGATTTGTTTTTCCTTCAAAAGAGGATATTGTTTCTTTTTTCTGTTGCAGTGAGCTCTCTGAATTCTGTAAGAAGAAATTTGAGCAGATAATTTCACATAAATTATTCTTTAATATTCCAAAGTATAACTAAAATAAGGTTTAGAGCCAAAGTTTAGTGCTTGAGAAAGAAAATCAATGATATTTTGAAGAATTTGATGCAATAAGAAGAAAACTGAAAAGGGCAAGATGTATTAAATGGTGTTCTCTCTGTTGATGTACTAGAGGGAGTAATGGAAGAGCAAAGGTCAGGGAGTTGGCATAGGAGGGGTTCTTGAGATCAGGCAACTGAAGGCAGAGGAGGATAATGGAGAATTGAGAACATTAGAGGTTGCGAGGAAAGGAAGAGGACAGTAGTTAAAAGGGATATGTTAGGCGATAAGGAGAATTAAAGGGATATATAACTACTGTTGGCACACCTTAAAAAAAAAAGAGCCAACGAAAGGATAGGACTGATTCAAGGATCTTGAGTCAGTGTTTGATTTTAGTTATATCACTAGCTGGAATACTACTAAAGAAGTTAAAAAGTGAAAGAGGAACACCCCCGTTTCTCCTTTGGAAGCCAACAGTCACACATCATCTCTCAAATCTGTGTTAAGGGAGAAGTGAAAAAACGCAAGCACCACACAATTTTTAAACGGCTACTTGGGCAGGATGAGAAAAGTCATAAGAGCTATTAATTGGACCATGATATTTCAAAATAAGATAAAAGACCAGCACCTGCTTCCATATAAGTAAAAATTCAGCACAATCAAAAGCTTCTCTTTTTAGAAATAAACACTCAGAGGAAATGAAGTGATCGGGTTGGATGAACATGGAGGCTAAGTTAAAGAGATCAGTGATGGTGCTCAAAGAAAGCGGAAGTGAAGATGCATATGTAGAAGCTGAGACAGGGCAAATGTCAGACCAAAACAGGAAGATGCATATGTAGCATTGGAAGTAGGAGTATATGAAGAGACACAGGGTGGTGAAAATCTAGGTACAATTAAAAATGAAATGAACAGATGAACAAACTAAATAGTACCTCATTAGTGGAAATAAAGCTTACTGTTATTAGACTGTGTGCGCAAATGTTCATTTGTACCTGCAAGTTTTTGTTGGCTAACTTACACTTCTATAGCACCTTTCATCTTAATATTTTCAATTGCTTTACAGACATCAAGGAATCTTCATAATACTCCTGAGGTAGATCAGTATTATATCCATTTTGAGGAAACAGGAAGTAAATGACTTACCTAATGTCACATAGGAAGTTAGTGAGAGAGTAGGGAACAGAACCTAGGGGATTCTATTTTTCCACCCTGCAGAATGCAACTAACTTCCATCACCAGTTGGATCTTATAGCCCCATCTGCTCCAAGGAACTGAACTTAAATAATCTACTGGCTTGAACAGAGGACCAATAGTTAAGACTCCTTGGATTCTATTCTCCCCCTGTACAACAAGAAACTAATTGATTTTTAGTGCATTCCCTTGAGGGTACCAAATGGTATTCCAAAAGGGAATTTATATAATAATTTACAACAAAGTCTACACCACCTACAATAAAGACGCATGACATCTGGTAAGCGAAAGCTGTGGAAGGAAAGGTTAAAGATAGGTGTTAGGGAAGGACTTCTCAGAGGATTATTGAATAGTAAGACTATCCAACACATCTCGATACAACATACATGAGAGTTTGCAACAAAGATAATTGTATACTTGCAACAAGGAACACCTGTATGATTACCAAATAGCAAGACATTTTTACTTCTCTCCATCTACAAATTTGATATATTTACCTGGGATTTGTGAAACATCTGCAAATTAATAGCTTTAACTTCTTCCAACTGTTGGCGAAGAGCAACCAAAGTGTCTTGTTTTTCATGAGTATCTTTTTCCAGAAGTTTCATGGCAATTTCCATTTCTGTTTTCATTCCAATCTGCAGCTCCAACTCTTTCTCTAGTTCCTTAGAAGGAGATTTCCTAGTTATTGCTACATAGGACATACATTATGTGTAAGAAATTTCTAACATGCTAAACCTACATAAAACTTGTCTGTGTATTATGTCCAAGGAATAATGTTGAGTTGTTATTTTATATGTAATGAGACAAACAGCCCAAATAACACAATATGAATAAGTTAGTAAGAATGGTAAGAGGGAAAGCAGCACACAGTATATTCTAACTCTCAACATTCTGCTGCTTTATTTTATTTGCAGTTCTGCTCTAGACGGTAGAATTGAAGGTTTAAGTCAGTCTTCTCTATTCTGGGAATTTCTTTTCAGGTAGGGACTGGCTACAGGAGCTGAAAGTCTGAAATGAAGCAAAGGGCTCTTAATCCAGCCAGTCCATAACTGCTGAGAGAATGCTCCACCTGAGAGGTGACTGTTATAAGTCACAACAATGCATAACAGCAAAGAAAGAGACAGTCACTTTTTTGCATTGACAATTAAAAAAAAATGTTAAAAATACAGTATTCATTGCAACAGTATAGCAAACAAGAGGAGGACTTCATTCTTAACTTTCTATGAGCTCTACGTTTTATTTTCTTTATGGACTGTTGCTGTCCATTTGTTTAAGCTATTTGAGAAAGATGCTTGAAAATCCACTGTGCAGCAAGGAGCCTGGATTCAAGCAATCCACAGCATTTTCGTATTACATGCTTATGTTATAGCACTAAAAATAAAGATAAAAAAAAATCTTTCATTTCACCCTCTGCCATGTAGTATCCTCACCATCCTAATTTTTTTTTCCTCTTTCAACTGCTTCCAGACATCACTGTACATTTCATCCAGACCTTGGCGTGACTGTTTATAGGTATCCAGTTCTATTTTTGTATCCTGTATTGTTACCTACATGAAACATTAGGAAAAGTTGTTTTTGAAGTTTGCTTGCAATTTGGTTATGGGACATAAAATAATATTTCTATTCATTCTTTTAATATAAAATTACTTCCTGTGATTGCACAGAATTGATCTTACATCTAAATCAGATGGTCAATATTAAAATGAATTCTCAAAAATAAATTAGTACTGAGGTTTTTAACTGACCAGTGCTTTTGAAGATACTTCACCCCCTTCTTAAAAAAACATTTGCAGCCTACATCTGAACAGACATGGCTTCATTATATTGTACATTATGGTACTAATTTTATTTTTTTAAAATGTGTATTATAGGAGAAGCAAATTTTAAACAGAAGGAACATGTTCAATACCCATATCTATAAACAAACAAGGTTAGCATTACAATTAAAATTGTTTTATAATACTGAAGCTAATCGACCAGAGGATAGCCTATCTTAAATATCTCCCATATTCTTGAACTGGATGTCTAACCTCTACACTCTTTTCACTCCGCTCACGAATTAATTCATTTTGATGTTTTAATTGTTGCTGTTCTTCCTGAAGTGAACCGATACGATCCGTTGCTGCTGCAAGCTGGTTAAAGAAAAAAATAAGACTATAGTGGTTAAACACAGAAGTGTGCAGCATCTGAATGAGATTTAAACATACCACTTAGAATATTGTTAGCAATAAATCTTAGTACCGTATGTTTCATAATACAGCTAAGTAAAAAATAGTCACTGCTAATCTTTAAACTATTAATTACGGGGCTATTTAATTTGGTGAGTTACACATTTGCCTCCCACCTTGAAATACCAGTTTGAATTCTGGCATAGATCATATGTGAGCTGCATTGTTTTATCATAGATAGATTTGGGATGTGCAAGGTTGGGACTATCATGTGTTTTGTCAACATAATTGTCTTTAGGATGCTCAGAAATGAGGCACACTGAAGGTTAGACCCAACATGCTTTGAGCGGATGACAGCGTTGTCACGAAGTGACATCTACAGCAGGGGTAGAGGCTGGACTTTGCAGAATGCCGTGAGAAGTGTAAAATCACACTCAGATAATTCAAAATAATCTGTATAGGTACAGTACTGTAGTAGGATGGGCATCCTATTCTTATTTGCAATTTTTTTTTTTTGCTAGGAAGCTGAAAAAATGTGACTCCTCCTTACAACTTTTTTCCTATTCACTGTTTCATTTTTTGATTTAGTCGTTCCTCTCTCTTTTAGATGGGAAATGAGAGCATGTGCTGGGGATAGATGTACGTCCTGTTGACATAATTTAAGGAGGCAAACACTTTAAGGAGGAAGTGGAATGAGGTATTTAATGCCTCCTCATTATTGAACAAGTTTGGATTTGTTTTGTTTAGAAAAAACACTTTATAAAAACACTTGATCAGACAGATCAGAGTCTGCAGACATCTTGAAAGCACTGGTATAACAGGGAGTCTTCTGCCAACATCACTTCTAACAACCAAAACTTTCTAGGTCTTTATACCACATTTATCACCATGGTATTGTATGTGGGAAAGCTTTCACAGTGTTCTGACTCAAGCCAGTCCTATTAGTCCCCACATTTCACAAGCATGAAACTCACTCCAGATTTGGGGTGAAATCCTGGCCCAACTGAAATAAATAGCAAAACTCCCCGTTCCTTTTTAGGGATGTAACAATTAAACTTTCTCAGTTGACTGTATAACACATTTGTATTTTAAAAAGGTAAAATTAGCCACAAACCTCTTCCTGGAGTTTTGAATTGGTCTTTTCTAAACAGTCTATCTTGCTCTGGAGATCACCAACTGTGCAACTGTGGCAAAAGATTTACATTTGGCTTTAAATAAAAAGAATGACATGTTCAGCTTTTATTAATCCTCACAATTATATTTTTGTAACAGTCTCCCATAAACAGCAACTAGCAGATGAAAAGGCAAAAATTTGAGCTGGCATAGAGCCCCTAGGTGAGCCAACTGCTTCTTTCGCAAGGTGCGGGGAGCGAAAAGAGAAAATTTATCATCTTTATTGATTTTTCTAAATGTATGTCTTTGCAAGTAGGCAGTCTCCTACAATTAGCATACCGTCTTCATTTCTGAGGCCCCCCTCTGAGCTGTGTGCTCTGAGTTATGGTGGCCTGGAATGCTCTGCTACAGATCTACCTGGGTTCCAGCTCCTTTATGTATCTAGAGCTGTGAAAAGGTGCCAGAACATGGCCCAGGATTGGGTTTGAGTTTGTAAAGAATCATAAAAGCCTACAAAACCTAAGTTATTTTCCAAGTGCCTTTTCTACTATTTTAAATATTTAAGACCTCTTATGCCTTACATTAGTACATTGTTTTATTTGCTTTGGTACTTTTCCAGTTCAGAGCCCATAAAAATGGTACCACATATAATACTGTGTCAAAAATCCAAATTATCTGGTAATACAAGATCAACACCATTAAAGAGCTAAATAAAACTAGTACTATGTAACTTAATAACTGAGGCTACAGTCACAAATTTATCCATAGTAATCAGTAGATAATGGAATACCAAGAAGAAAAAGTACACACTCTGACTAGACCAATATTGATATAAGGGTAATCTTATTATCTAAAGAGCGATTACTTCAAGTTGCAACAGAAAACAAATAATTAACTTTTAATTATGTTAGAGATCTCCACTGGGAACCAGTTAACTTCTACCACTGGGGTGATGAACGTATGTACCCAGAAAAAATTTTAGGGCTATCGTCTGTGGAGACAATTCAGCAAAGCACTCAAAAGCAGAATAGCTTTAAAAGCATGAGTAGTACCGTTCAGCTTTCTCCCATAGACTTCCTGGATCAAGGACTATTGCCCTGCCTGAAAATAAGTCTGATAACAGAACTATTTGTCAAGAGTTCAACCGCTGACAGAATCCCAAGGTTAGTTTGTAATCCTTGGTTTAGTGACAAAAGTTTAATGCTTCTCAGCTGATTTTGAAGAGCTGAAAAGTTCCATAGTTAAAATGCAGAGAAACAACTGGATTTCCTCTCCAGCCTAGCCATGGAGGATAGTTCACATTCCTACAAGTATTCTCACTTATCGTACAATTGATTTCTAACATCATCAACAGTAATATTACATTTCTTTTGCAAAAGAAAGTCAGTTGCCATTTTAGATTGGAATAAGATCTTTAAGTCTGGTGTGGTCTGTTTATGTGAAGTCTTTCAGGAAAGAGCCAACACACTGGCTAAGAGACTTGAATATATTCTGCAATGTTATTTAGATTAATTCCATTTTAGGAATGACTGACATCAGTGCTTATTTTGCTTAGTCACTGAAGTTGTTCATAAACAACGCAGGGTGCAGATTAATGACTAAGTACTGATGTAGGTGTGGTTGGATCAGATAATTTAAGTTTTGTTTAAACAAGTGTAAGCTAGTCATGCTAAAAAACAAAAACAAACATTTGAAGCAAGAGGCACAGTTACAAAATAAACTATTGAAAGATTCCCTTAGTGTTTAGTCAAGGTTAAAATAAGAAAAAAATGTATTAAACATTCTAATAAAGTTATAAATAGAAACATAGATATGTGGACATTGAACAAATTGCAGGTTATAGATTTTTAACAATAGGGTAAGCAAATGTGCCTGAAAAAAGAAAAAAAAATATAAGCACACCAACCTCTTTTTCTAGTTAATGTTTTAAAAACACATCTGGTCATCCAAGAACTCACACACTGGATACAAAATTAAGTTTAATTTTTAGGAGGAGTGTTGACAGCATAATGATTAGTACTTCTCTAGGACTTTCCACCAAAGTTGCATTTGTTATACAAATCCAGTCTTGGATGCTTCCTCTATGTATTTTAATTTAAAATTACTGCTAAGATTATAATGAGTGCTATGATATATTTAGAAACAGAATATGATAATTTTGAATCCACATTTTTACAGTAGTTCTATTTTCTGAACACAAAATTTTAGGCAATACTTAGTTTTTTTGTACAAGTGATCAAACTGAATAAGGTTCCTTTTCTTAAAATTACACATCAGTAACTTGAAACTTCCTAAAATCGAAGAGGACTATATTTCTGAATTAAGTGTGCATTCATATTTTGAATGTTAACTCTTCTTCTAAGGAGGATGAAAAGGTAAGATACGATCTAAAACACTAGCACGATCTCAGAATTGGAAGCTAAAGAAGGCAAAGGCATTCTGCAATAAAACGCTGATTTTTATTAAAACATTATTGCTATTTGCAGGAAATTGTATCAACTTTAAGATAATTAGTAAACTCACCATATGGAGTTGTGAATTATGTTCACTGCTTTTATAAGCCAATAGTACCACCTCCTTACAACAAAATATTTTGTTTAACAGACAGACTTCAACTTATACTACACACTTACTTTCCCAGGAAAGATTCTCTCAAGCCTTCTAGGCCAATTTCTATTGCTTTTATTTTGAGACTGAGAAGTGTTAACTACAAAACTGAAAGAGACTTGCTCTGATGTTTAAGTATCCAAAGCAAGGGGGGGGGGGAGATTATGTAACTGATGAGAAATTAGTTTCCTTTGGAAATCCACATATTGTGAAAAGAATCATCATTTAGTGTATGAATTTGTGAGCAAATTCTACAAAAAGTTACAGGCAGGGCACAGAGAAAAGTCTCAGGAAAAATAAAAACAATGAATGCGCATTCAAACAGACAAATCTTACCTTAGATGACGGTTAAGTTCTTCCACATAATGCTTCTGGTCAAGCACAGCAGTAATCCCTGCATCTCTAATTTTTAAACATTAAGAAATGTAAAAGGGTGTATTAATTTTGAAGTGTTAATCTGTACTAGACATGGGATCACCATGCCCTTCCCACATTGGTGAATAAGAGAAGTGTCAAGTTGACAACCTCCGTACAAGACTTTAAAATTACTTTGTCAGTGCATTTAAAATAAACAATGTCATACTACTGATGAAAGACAGAAGTTTGAAGAGGCAAAGTAGCAGCACTATAAGCCAAAAAACATGAGCAAGGATAAAGGAAGAAGTGAAATAAAAAAAGAATAAACCCCTCACAAGGACATAGAAACAATAGAATGCCACCAGAAATTTAAAAAAAAGGATAGGAGTTGGTTACCAAACACACATACAGACCAAGTGAGGATGCTCTATAGGGCAAACTTAGAGATGCCGATGCTAAAAGGGTCCCCTGTGACAATGAGAGATTTCAGCTAACCTGACATACTGGAGCAAAGTCAGAAAAGTAAGCAAAGGGGTAGGGTATCTAAGTGTGTAATAGATGATGCCGTTATAATTAAAACTGTAAGGGACAAGAAGGTAAATTTCAGTTTAATCAGGAAATATTAAGGGAAGTATAAATACTTAATATTTTGGGCATAGCAACCAACTGCATTTGATATTTCTAAGGGGCAAAAGGGAAAACAAATGAAGGACTCATTCTAAAGATACAAAGTCATAGCAGCTGTTAAATGACACTGTCAAACTTAAAATCTAGTCTGTTTCAATAAAGTGGCTACAGATGCAGCACCTGCCCCGAGTCCACTTAGACCATTTTTATGGTTTTACATTGACTTTTTTCTCTTTTTGTAAATGTATCTCCTCTGTTCACCTGTGTGAAAAGACCCATGCAGAGCAGGGGGAAAGGACAATGCAAGGCGAAGTAAACAACCTACAAACGTAAAAAGATATTTTTTCCACCAATATTTTAATTACAATAGTTATGGTGCTGCTTTACCACAAAGTAAGTGGTAAAAATGTTCAGAAAGAAGTATCTTTTATTGGACCAACTTCTAATGGTGAAAGAAACAAGCTTTAAAGCTCCACAGAATTCTTCTTCAGGTCTGTGGAGCTCAAAAGCTTGTCTTCTTCACCAAAAAAGTTGGTCCAATAAAATACTATTTCCCCAACGGTATCTCTTTCATAACCTGGGACCAACATGGCTACAGTAACCCTGTAAACAGAAAGTAGTACATAGTTTCCTTTGTATGCCCTTCACCCACCAACCCAGACCAGGGGAAGCCACACCCTATATATCCACCCCATGAAAAGAGTCACCAATGCAATCTGATATTCCATTTTAAAGAATTTAATGCCCGGAACCCCTGCAAACTCAGATCATGCTAGTTTAAAGACTATGGGGGCCCAAGCTCAGGACATGAACTCTGATCCAGTTAGAGATGTCTCCAACACTGATGCACTCCAAGGGAGTACTAACATTTAATAGTTTAATATTCTGAGTTTTCTATAGAAAGAGTAATTAAGATAGTTTATCATCATACGTACTGTTTGCTATCATCACTGTTCTGTATATCCTTAAGGTACAAGGAAAAATCAATCACTCCAACCTGATAAAAACAATTTTGAAAAGTTACACATTGTTACAATGAAAGTTAAAGTCTTTCAAGCAGTAGTTGCTACCATTATCTAAGTTTCATTTACTTTTTACCCATTTAACGTTTAAGTTTAGAAATACAATCCTTATCCTCTGAAGCAAAAGAAGTTTGCCTTTTTATTTAAAAAAAGATCAAAATGAAAACTGAAAAAAATAATCTATCCTTGTCTACACTAGGAAATTGAATATTGCTGACAATTACTATCAGCAATGATTCCCTGGAATAGGTACTGAAAAAGTATTTAAGTGCTGCATAGACAGGACAACAGTTTCCAGTAGTGATTCAGAAAGCATGACAACCCGATATATGGCAGTCAGCAAGTCTTAATCACACTTTCTGAAATTGTGCTGAAAAAGATTTTAGCACTTAAATAATTTTCAGTATACATTTGGTACCAGCTTCAATAAGAGGTAAGTTTTCTAGTGTATGCAATGTGTTTTGTGAATTTCAGTATTGTGCTCTGTAACAGAATTTATTTCCAATGAACTTAATTCTTGATTTCTCTGTAGTAATTCCATATAGGTCTTGTATTTATCAGTAGCCCTTGGTCAGATGAAGTTTTATCAGAGTTTTTAATTTTTATTGCCTCACCAACCTATACTATAGCATCACTAACCCAACTATAATTAGCATTCAGCTGGATTTACAGAAGGTCATATTAAACTATAACAAACTTCCCTTTGGCCTGAAAGCAAGATATAAACTCAAGCTGAGAGTAATTTTTTTTAAAAACTAAATATCAAATTGGATTAATTTGCTTGCTGTAGATAAAACAAATCAAACTACTGGAACTTCTATTAAAGGCAACACAGGGACAGTAGGTACAGTGCTGTTATTAAAAATGCCAGACTACTTTTCACAAAAGCATATATTTAAATAATTAGCTCATTTATTGTCTGTGGGCTCCATTTCTCATAAAAAGACTTCAAATGTCTGCTTGTGACATAATGCTTCAGACAGCATTAACCCATGAAGCGGACCAGGTTTGCAAATTACAGCCCCAATTAAGCTAAGTACTTATGCATGTACTTAAGTGTAATGAGACCTAAGCACATGCTGAAGTGCTTTGCTGAGTTGGAGCCATTTGAGATTAGATTAGTTTTCTATTTTAAAACCTAGTTTTCACCTGGGAATCCAAATCTTCTCCTTTCAAGCAAAGGTTCGCATCAAGAACATTCAGTCCAACCAGCAAACCTACAATCACTGCTCCTTCCTCCTCCATCATCAATGCATCAGGTTCATAAAATTCACTAAAGAGAGATAATTTAGAGGAAATTCTCACACGTCATGATTTCAACTCCAGCAATAGCAGAAGTTCCATTTAACGAAAGTATTATATAAAGTGGTATGGTAGCTCTAGATAAAAGAGTAGAATGTATACTGATCCTCTCCTTGTCACGTACTGTAATACAAGAACAAGAATAGACTTTGAAACCGAAAGGCAACAAATGCAGAACCCCAATAGGAAATATTTGTTTGCTAAGTATACAGTCAACTTGTGAAATTCACTGCCATTGTTGCTAGATTTTTTTTAAATTTAAATTTACATTCACAACCACTAGCATTTGTAGCAATGTAAGATTTTGTATGAACATTATAACAATCACAGAACAGCATTCAAGGGCTCGAGAAGTACCAAGCCTTTTATCTAAATCAAAGATAACAGAAAATACAATCTCTGTTTAAAGAAAGATTGTCCTTGATAAAGATTCTCCAACTCTCAACTGTCCATTGTATTTAGAATAAGATTTTGTATGTTTTGTTTCAGTAGTACTTGGAGATTAAAAGAGCACTGGTAATAAGTAACTAATTTCATTAATTTAGACTAAATTATATTAGGGGATGTTGTATGTTGCATATGGTTTGCTGAACAAACGTTTCCAATAGTATCCCAAGGTTTTAGAGCAACAACTACATTGTATGATCTCAAAGCTCATTGTATGGGTTCCAAACTACTTTAGAAAGTAGAAAGAAATTCCACAGAACTGTGTGTTCTCTGTCCGATCACCAGACAGGATTTTGAAGAACTATAATGGCATCCTTTTACAAACATTGAGCAGTTTTACATTCTCCCCAAGTTTTGAATGGCAACCTTGCCTGCTATTTCAAGTCACTGGCTCACATAATTTATTCATTCCATGAATTATATGCATATTTTATTTAGTTCAATTCAATCTTGATAGGTCCAGCAAAGTTGAAAAAAAACGCTCAATTCATTAATAAACTACATGCAATTTCTGCTCATTTATATACAGAGAACACTGTCCAACACTTTCAAAAATTAAACTATAACCTCATCCATTGTTTTTACTTCCTGAGAAACTTAAAGATGAAAGGAACAAAGGATATTTATCTCAAAACCAACACGCACAGATGTTTCTCTTTTCTACATATAAATGGTACAGTATATCATCAAAATACTACAAATTGGGTGTCTGGGTACCTTAATAGAGGTTTGTGGTCTAATAGTACTTTCAAGTAATCTGCCAGTTTCTTTTGCATGAGTGCAAGATAAAGCCAAGCTCTTCCTCGTCCTATTGCGGTTCTAGAATACAATACAGATGCAAACGATTATCAAAATTGCAATAAATCAAGATTTTAAAAGCAATTTTTAAAATATTTCTGTAATTCAGCATTAATAAAGATGAAACCAAGTTGAAGGTAATATTTTATTAAATGAGCACAAAAACCCATGAAGAAAATTAAGTGAGAATAAAAATGTTTATACATCTATAGAGAAATTATTAAACAAATCAAGTATTTAAGTGAATGGGAAGCATCTGGTCAAATTTGGCCCAAATCAGACACAAGTTTTTACTATATCTTAGACTAAAGGAAAAATTTCTGTCATTATTAATTCCAATAAAAAAACATTTTAAATACAAATATTCTTCTGTAATGTTTGTAACCTAACCATTGCAGCATTCTGCTGGTGCTCAAGAATTTGGAAGTGAAACTAGTCTATTTACATCTTCCAAAAACAAAGCAAGAAAGCAGACAAATGACATTAAAAACTATTTTAAAATTCTCTTATTTTGAATAGTTTAAAGGTTATTTCTTGCACAGGTAAGGAATTTTTAATATACTTTTTTAGCCTGACAGGTTCTTTTGAAGATTGAGGTGAGGATATAGAAGTGTTGAAAACTGCTACATGTCTTTCATGATACAACTTTGTGCTACATTTATACACTATGTTCTCTGGCTCAGAGAATGAGATCTCCCCAACTGAGAGAGAAAGAGACGATACGTTATTATATTACCCCAGTCTTCAACTCACTTCAACTCTGGCAGATTTTTAACACTAGTTGCTATATCTGATGCTTCTGGACAAAGTTTCTCCACCAGCTCCAAAGGACCAAAAAATGACTTATTCTGTCCAATAAAACTCTTCTTGGCTAAAAGGGAAGAAATACAGAGGTGTTAATAAACAGGAAAATGACAAACATCCTCCTTCAACTCCACAATCACAAATAGTATAAAAAGAAACCCTTAAAATGTACTCCATCTTACAGGCCCTTGGTACGTACACTGAGTTCATTCCTCAGTCAGGAGATGACAGAGACCTGATACAGAGCATATCACAATGTAAACAGATAATGTAGTTGATCTTCACTGTATCCCAATATTTCTCCACAGAATTTTGCTGATAAAATATTAAAATTTTACATTGTAATATGATCTGAAACCACATTAAGGCAAATCTGAATGGATTTCCACAGCCTCTCAACATTCCTATGATTTCAGCCAAACTCATTTAAGAACGAACTATGGTGCTCACCTTTTAGCCCATGCTTTAGACAGTGCTCCATCACCACAAAGAACTGTTGCAAAGGAGGAAAGTCGGAATCCAGAGTCCTACCCAGGCTCAGGGCTGACTGGATCAAGACTTTGATACTGAGCTTCATCATATTCATCAAGTTTGAACGCTCTTCCATTGTGTGGCATTTAACAGCTAAAAAGTTTTAGGGGAAAAAAAACAACACCCCAATGAAAGCATACAGGCTAGTTTGTCCTTAAGATAACATTGAGAAAGATAGTGCCCAGGTATAGTTTTCAACTCTTAGCCTCCCAAGGCCTGAATGTGTGACACTGTATTTTTTAATATGTTAGATATAAAACATAAGGCACAGAAGAAAGAAAATCTATTCATAGGAAGAATACTGACTGACTGACCAACCAGAGGTTCATTTAGGTGCCATGTGTGAGTATTATGTGATTTCAGATTCAAGAATCAACATATCAGATTCAAATTTACAATAAAAAAAATGAAGTAATAGTATGACACTGAAATGTAGCCAAAATTTGGCTCTAACGAGAAACACTTTGTAATGAAGTACAGTTATGTGGTATATGGATAACAACCAGACTGAAGGGTGCTTCTGTCACTGTCTCTAGATTCAGGCTGACTCCATGGTACTCTAGACTGTTATTTGATTCCCAAGGCTCTAAGCAGGGCTGGATTAACCTTTGTAGACCCCCATGGAAGCAATGGAACATGGCACCAGGAGGTCAGTCCCCAGCCAGGGGCAATTGGGTGAGGCATGGCAGGAAGGGTCCCGCTCTGCCCAGTGCAAGGGCACTATTAAACTGGTAGTTGCCAGACACACAGTGGCCTGCCTGGCCCTGTGCTGCCAGCGTGCCCGTGCCCATTCCCCTTGGGGGCGGGCCCATGCCATGGCACAGCCCCCCACCCACCCAACACCCCCCTGTCTCCCTACAGCCAGAGCCTCCCTGGTCACGCTATACCCAGTGCCCCCCTAGACCCTGCCACAAATGCTCAGTGCCCTGCCCAGTGCCCCCCTGCCCACAACTGCCCAGCACCCCACACAGAATTCCCACTCCATATGCTCCAACACACAGATCTTCTCCACCCCCTCACAGCCCAGCAAGCCCCAACAGACCTACTCCCCCATGCCCTGCCTCCTGGCTGCATTTACTGACTCTGCTGGGAGGTGACTGTGTCTGCCGGGCTAAGCTGGCAGCCCAGCCAGAGCTGGTCCCGGGGCCAGGAATCACTCCAGCCCTCAGGCGTGGAGCAATCAGCCAGGCCAGGGCATGTCTCGGCTGGGCTCCCTCAGGACCCACTTGCCTAGAGGGGCCCAGCCAAGCCCCCCCATGCTGTTTCCCCGCAACTGGCTGAGACTGGCCAGGCTTCTGCACCAGTCCCAGGCAGCTAAGCTCCGGAGAGACAGGCAAGACCCCACAGGTGGTAGGAAGCAGAGACTGCCCGGAGCCGGAGGTGCACTGGGGTCCAGCCAGGGGCAGAGAGGAGCCATCTGGTGGGGCCAAGAGGCAGAGAGGAGCCCTTGGCCAGCCGGTGGGCAGGCTGAGAGGAGCAAGTGGTGGCAGCAGGGGAGCCAGCAGGCTGGTGGGGTCTTGGACCATAGTGCAAGCGGAGCAGGACGGGGCCCCTTCTGAGCATGGCCCGGGTCCATGGCACCACTGTAAACCTGGGACTGGCCCTAAGCTATTGCAACAAGCAACACACATGCTGAAACTCCATCCTAATCCTTCGCCCAGAGAGTGGGGAACATTGTTGCATGTAATATAACTTCATCTTATTCCCATCCCTCCATCAGAGGGGTAGTTAGGGCTGTCTGTAAACACAAGCAAACAACTTGTGGCCCTGAATGTCTAATGACGACAAGATCTTCCAGTGGGTCTGAAGAGAAACCCCATGCCCTGGGTAACCCTGTGGTAGGGTTGCTTGGGTTTCCACAATTAATACCTGTTTAGCAAACTTAGGAGAGAAACAGCCAAGTGAAATAACTTTCAAGTATCAGGGGGTAGCTGTGTTACTCTGTATCCACAAAAACAACAAGGAGTCCGGTGGCATCTTAAAGATTAACAGATTTATTTGGGCATAAACTTTTGTGGGTAAGATGCATCTGAAGAAGTGTTTTTTTTTTACTGGTGAAAGCTTATGCCCAAATAAATCGGTTAGTCTTTAAGGTGCCACCTGACTCCTTGCTGTTTAAGTGAAATAACTGGCACTCTGCCTAACTTGAAGGGATCCCCTCCACAGCCTCCTGTCCCCCCTGCTCCACTATCCAATTGCCTCTTGTCCTTCCCAATGGGGATTCTCTCTAGGGCCTTCTGCCCCCTAGCACTATTCCCCTCAAGTGGGACCATATCCCCTGCCCCCAACACTATCCTCCCCCAGTGGAACCCCCATGGCCCCCCACCCCCAACATTATTCCCCTAAGTGGGACCCCCATATCTTCTGCTCCCCAGCACTCTGCCCCTATGGGAGCTCTCCCATTACCTCCTGCCCCCTCATTATGTTTTCCCCATTACCTCCTGTTTGCCTTCCCCTGTGGCCTGCTCCCTCCCCCCAGGGCCTCTTGGCCCCACAGCCCCTAAGCTGACTGAGGTCACGGGAATGGCCCCAGGCCGAGTCCCCAAAGACCATCCCCACCCCGTTATCCCCACTGACTTCTCACCCTCTCCAGCGCTGCCAGAGAAACAGCTCCCCCCACTCTCTCCAAATAGAGACCATTGATTGGGCGACGGAGGCCCATCATTAACTCCCTATCCAAGCCAATCAGGGTGCAAGGCCCACAAACACCGCCTCCAATTGGCTGCACGTTCAGACAGGCCCCTCGCACGCTCCCATTGGGTGCGAGAGCCTTCGCTACCTGTCCACCTCGATCCTCATTGGCTCGAAAGGGAGGCACGAGGGACCTGAGAGACGGGATATAGAAACCGCCCAAAGGAGCGCTCGGGCCGGGAACTGTCGCGAGCTAGCATAGAGCGAACGAGAAAGATGCGGCAGGGGGCAGCCGCCATCTTAGACGGGGCTGCTGGTACGTGTGAGGGAAGCCTGCCCCTCCCCCCCCCCCATTCCAGTAAGCCACTCAGTGCAGGTCACACGACCATTTCACAGCTCGACCTGTAGCGAAAAACCCGCCCGCTGCGCGGCTCGGTTCCCATGCGGGGGGACGCTGAACCCCCCCCCCATCCCTCCATTAACTCCCCCTCATGCGGTGGGTGCGTGGGAGGGCGCTGCCTATCCCCATTAGCCCTTCCTGCTCCGGGGGGGCTGCCTACCCCTCTCTCTCCCATTAGTCCTCCCTCTCTTACGTAGTGTGTGTGGGGATTGTGCCTACCCCCACTAATCCCCTTCCTTGTCCAGTGAGCGAGTGGGGGCGCTGCCTACTCCTCTCTCTCCTCTTAGTCCTCCTGATTTCAATGGGGGTGTTGCCTGCACCGCCATTAAGTCCCCTCCCACACCTGATTCATGTGGGAGCGGTACCTACCTGCCACATCCCGACTTCCAGCAGTGACACCTCATTCCCAGGAGCGTGCAACTGCCTATCTGCTGCCGTCTCCCTCCTTCACTCCCCAGCCAGCAACACCCCTGCTCTTGACAGCGTGGACAAAACAACCTCACATGGGGTACTTTGGGATAACAAATATCACAGTGATGAGAAGGATTATTGTTTATGCCACCCCTAAAATGCTCAGAGGTAAACACAAATCTAAAAATAGGAAATCCATTTAAGGCATCAACAACCCGATCCATCTCAGCTCACATGAGCAACTCTTATTATTATTACCATTGAAATAACACATACATGCTGATGAATCACAACACACTTCTTCCCAACAGACAGCACAATGTATGCATGCAAATTCCTCAAAATCACACTCAAACGCACATGCTGAACTCTGATGTGAGATGTTTTTAGGTAACAGATTTTGGATATATATGATTAATCTTGCTGAGATTGCAGGTAAACTTGTGTATTTGTGAGAGATTTTTAGGAACCTGATAGTGTCTGGTTGCACAATAGAAGTGAAAAGAAAGTTGATTGTGGAGGTGAGGAATTAATGGCTTTGTTTAGGTGTTATGTTTCAGCAGTAATTCATTTATATTGAAGTTGTTGGGATAGTTTCCTAGATCTGAGTTTGTATTGAAAGGAAATATACTTTTGCAACTGTAACTCTTAAGACCTGGTTTACATCCAAAATTGCATTAGTTTAGTTAAAAGTGTAATTTTAAATGGATTTAGTTAAGGTGGTGCAATTTTGTGCATGGGCACTTTTAAATAGGTTTAAACCTGACATGTTGGCTGAGTTGCACCTGTAACTTAATGCAAATTAAACAAATAAGTCACTTTTCAACTGATATAAAAGTGTCTGTGTTGGGATTTGCAACAATTTAACTAAATTGTTTTTTTTAATTATTTAAGTTAAACTGGTGCAGCTTCTGTGTTTAGACAAACCTCCAGTTAATATTTGTGTGTGTGTGTATATACACTATAAAAATTATATTTAAAGGAACATGAAAGTTGCAAAGTCAAGCATGCAAGAGCTAAGAAATGCCAGAAATAAAGTTGACCCTCTTATGCATATGCATTGTGATACAGGCCAGTTATATTACATGATCACACACTATTGTTTCCTCAGGACCTCTGCCTTATTCAGTGCACAGGCCAGATGGTGCTCACTGAATGAGCAGCTATTCAATATTTTGTTTTAGCCTCATTGTGTGGTCCTGTGCCTTGTTTACTACACATTATTCAAACTCTTCTGTGAATACAGAATTAGTTTCCTCACAGGCATTCTATAATACTCATCGCTATAGTATTGGCAGGGCCAGATTAATGCATAGGCAAACTAGGCCCAGATTCATGGGGGAGCCCAAAATGGGGTCAAATTTGCAACCTGGCATACAGGGTCTAAGTGCCACTCAGGGCAGGTCTAAACTACAACGCTATGCGCTGAGAGTGATCCACTGGCTGTTGATTTAGAAGGTCTAGTAAAGACATGCCAAATCAACTGCAGATCGCTCTGCAGTCGACCCCTGTACTCTACCCCCGATGAGAAGAGTAAGGTAAGTCAACAGGAGAAAATCTTCCGTCGACCCCCTGCAGTATCTCGACCTAAGGTACATCGACTCCAGCTACGTGAATAACGTAGGTCGACTTACCGCGGTAGTGTAGACAT